AAAAAATATATGTTAAATTATAACTAATAAACTTTATTTTAATATAAAAATAAAAATTATTTCTTAATAAAATTATAGATTTTAATATGGAGAGAAAATTTCAATTTTAACTATGTTTTACTAATAAATTTATTCCCTGAGTCATTACTTTTGGTTGCTATTGTATAATATTTATATATACTAAATCTAGTTTATTTTAATTTTATTTTTAAATTAATAATGTAAATTTAATAACTTCTTATTATGCTTGATATTTAAATAATTAGTAATTTATAATTTTTAATATATATAATAAATATTTTAAATTTATCTCTATATTATTTTATAAATGAATATTTTATTTGATATTTATAATTTATAATTTAAATATATTTTTTACTTTTAAGAATAAAATAATATAATTAAACTATAAAATTATAAACTTTGATATTAATATAAAAATAAAAAAATATTTAGTGATTAATTACAAATATTATTATAAAGGGAAAATCTAATTTTTATATATTTATTAAAAAATATTTTAATATATATATATATATTTATTTTATATTAATTTAATTCAATCTCAAATCTAATATTTTGTATCTATTTATAATAAATATTGCAAATTAAATTTTAATTATTAGCTATTTAATTTTATATTTCACTATTAATCATATAGCTTATTTACTTATAATCCTATAAAAGACATATTCAAGAATTTTTGTTTAATAATTTAAATATTAATAAAAACAAGATGAATCATCAATCTATAATGGAAAATTCTTACTATAAATATACATATCACAGTATAAAAAAAAAAACGGATTGAAGGATACAGAGAAGCAACTCGGAAGTAAGGTTTTTTCTATTTTAGCTTCGTTTTCGAATTAGCGAGGTTTATTATTCATCGTCAACTTCGAATAACTTGAGCTCATCGAGAAGTCGACAATCATGACAAAATCCAATATCATTATTTGGTCGACTACAAGTTGCACAAGTGCCAAATAATATTGTTTGTCTGTATTCGATTCCTATCAAAATATGTAAATATAAGAGGGTAATAAATTTTGGGATTTAGATTAAAATGCATAAGCCTAGAGGAGCTGTATTAAAGAAAAAAAAATAATTCCGTACCAGTATTTTTTAATTTTATGACTTTAGTTATTGCTTGCTTACTTTCATATTCTATTCTAGGCTTATTTGTATATGTAATTGAATTCTGCCTATTATTTGATTCGTTTTCTAAATAGTATAAATTGAAATTTATCTTGTTAAAACATGCATATTCAAGTTTAAACGATCAAAAAAAATTTTCTTAGACTTTACCATGTATATTTGCCATCTTTATCAATTTACTGAGTGGACGACTTTTATAAATAGCACCATGGTGTTTATTAAGTTCTTTTCGTAGGGTAAAATGCTTAATTCTTTTTAATTCCATTTGAGTAATATCTTCCAGAGATTTTAAATTCATTATTATATCTATCTTCTTCTGTATGTCCTTCGCACTTGGTCGCATCAACGGATCTGGATCCCAACATTGCTTCATAAGAAAGCAATATTCTGATGGAATATCGTCAGATACAGTAGGTCGTACACCATCGCATATATCAGAAATTAGTCCAGCGTCGTGGTTTCTATTTTGGAATGGCCTTTTTGCATTCCATATCTCCCACATTAGCATCCCAAATGAATAGATGTCGGCTGCTTTTGTGTACGGTTTTCCTTTTAGTACTTCTGGTGCCATGTATGGAATGATTCCATAGATTTCGTTATTCGATTCAACACCTAGCTCTATTTTGGATATTCCAAAGTCAGACAATTTAAAATTTGCATTCGTAATACTAACAGGTTCACCGGAAAGGTCGCCTAAAATATTGCCACTATGTAAATTGCCATGAACTAGATTCTCTGAATGCGCATGAATTAAGCCTTTCAAAATATTCTTCAGAATTTTCAATATTACTTTATAATGGAATGTGATCATATCCTTTGAAAGACGTGAATAAAGAGATCCGTCTTCAAAATATTCCAGTACAAGAATAAAGTTTCCGGTATTAGGATTTTGTGAAATTCCATATACATTGCACGAATACAATCTGCATTCGCCATGACTTAGTGCACCTAATAAAATCTTTGTCTATATAATTAAAATGATTTTTATTAGAATTGTAAATTAATACATGATTTTTTCGTACGATTAAAGACTCACTTCTTTAATGAATTCCGAAATGCAACCTTTTGAGTTTAATTTTTCTTTGAGAGCCACTTCCCAATTATAACATCTTTTAAAACTCTTATTTGCACTGTCATAGTATGTCTTTCCCTTTTTCCAGATCGATTTTGAAACTCTAGCAAAGCCGCCTTCTCCTAAATTTTCAATCTTACTAAATTGGTTATATGGAATCCACTCGATCCATCCATTAAACTTAAGATGACCTTGACTACTATGCAAATATTTACGTTGTTCATCTAAAATAAAATCATCGATTTCCGGATGACCACTAGTCCAAGATGGAAGATCACACTTTGGACATAATTCCAATTGAAGATTCCATTTTTGCCGGCATTTTGAACAAAACTCTAGTACTCTAACTAGGATGAAATTTCCACTAGGAGACTTTGAAATTCCAAATAAACAATATCTAAATTCATTATACTATAAATATTTAAAATTTATTAATACAGGATAATTAATAAATATTCAAACTATCAGGAGATTTACCTTTCTATTCAGTGCATTATATAATTGTTCCGAGTTAAAATAAATATCTAATTGAACGGTTTGTGATTTATTCAATCTCTCTAATGATTTTTGTTTTGTAATATTTTTTATACGGTCATATTCCAATGTTGCCTTATATACTGTATATAAGGTTTCTTCTTTAATAAATTCGCGATTTTTTATTTTCTCATACGGAATCCACTCAAGCAATTCATATCGATTATCGTTATTGTCTTCGTCTAATGGTTTATCAAACTTGTTCTGTATATTTATAATAAATTCATCGATTCTCATATCCCCACTTGACCATGGTGAAAGGTGGCATCTAAAGCATATCTGATAAAATATATTCCAAGTAGCTTTACATTTCGAACAAAACTTGCGTTCTTTTATAAGTATAATGTCATTTGTTAGCGTATGTTTCATTATCCCGTATACTCCTGAAAAATCGTTCTTTAACTATAAATAATGAAAATAATCAATTGTTTTCTTTTAAACAAAAAAGTAATCAATCAAAATAATATTTACCTCCTCATATAAATAGTCTAAATTTGAATATTCATTTAATTGAACCTCACTTTTTTCTTCCCTATTAAATTTTTTTAATTTATGATCGAAGCTTTGTATACGTCCCATATTCCAAATTGCATTATATACTTTATAACATTTGTTTTCTTCAATCACTTCTATCTCATTAAACAGCTCATCAAAGCTTTTCTCAAATAGACATTCGATCCATTTATCACTGTTCTCGCATTCGATTTGCCTTTTTATAATTAATTCATCGATTTGCACATTTCCGGACGTCCACGGTAAATAATAACATCTTGGACATAGTTGAAATGTAAGGTTTAATCTCAAGTTACAATTCATACAATATTCCAGATCTCTTACTAGAATATAATTATGAGTAGCTGGATCTTTTGAAACCCCATGAATGACATAAAACTAATAGCGAAATGTAAAAAGTTAAAAATGATCACTTCTTAATTTGTAAAAATATAATAAAATTTACCTCACTGCATATTATATTATAGAAACTGTCGAAATTTGAATATATATTAAGCTGAACATCGCTTTCCTTCTGTTTAACGAGCCTTTTTGTTTCTTCTTCAAAATCCGTTATGCGTCCAGGCTCCCAGATAGCCTTATATACGTCGAAGTCTTGCTCTTCCACCATAAGTTCTAATTTGTTAAAATTGTCATAGGAAATCCATTCAATCCAATTATGATACTTAAAACCGCGAAATTGTATTTGATAATTTATTAAAATCTCGTCAATTTTATCATTTCCGCTTGTCCAGGGTAAAAAATCGCATCGAGGACATATATTCAAAGTAGTGTTCCAATTTAATTTGCATTTTAGACAGTACGATGGCTTTTGTATAAGAAAAAAGTTCTGAGTACAGGGATCCTTCGATACGCCAAATATATCCTAGCGTTTAATTGAATTTTGTTTAGCTTTCGATTCAGAAGTTGTAATAAGCTTTTAACTCTTTAATTTTTACCTTCCCGTCCGATTTTAAGGAGCAAAACAAATAATCTAAATTTGAGAAAAGGTTCAATTGAACAATGCCTTGCTCTTCACGAATCAATGATTTTGATTCTCTATCATATGATATTACTCGTCCTTTTCCCCAAATGGCAAAATATACCTCGTAAAATTCGTTTTCGCAAAAATATTTTTCTTTAAGAAGCTGCTCGTATGGAATCCATTCAATCCAATCATGATGCCCATTATAATGCACTTGAGCATCTAAAATTATTTCATCAATTTCGTAGTTGCCACTAGTCCACGGCGCAAAGACACATCTAGGACAAAATTGAAAGCGGTAGTTTCGCCTTTCAAAGCATAAAGGGCAGGCATTTTCAGACATATTTATGTTTTCTCAAGAATAAAATGACAATTTTAAATGCTGAGGAAAAATTTAATAGCTCTTTAATAGTTTCTTAACGATTTTCTGTGTATCAATACAATATGGTGTACAAAATTTGTAATGGCATATCTAATCTTTTGATCATCAGAGATTTTCTATAACGTTGCCTTATTAAAATTCATTAAATAACATAGCTTAGATACAACACATGTATAATTAATATAATTAATATAATTAATACATGTAAAACGAAATATTTACCACCACCACTAGATTATCTGATCTTATTGTCGTTATTCCTTTAAAAAATTTTCAAATTGAAAAAACGACAAAAACATTTCTCCATACTAATTATGGAAAACATTGCTAAAGTTTCAATTATTTGACAATAAATGGCTAGATTTAAGTTAAGCAATATGAAATCAGTAAGATTTACGGTGTCTTATTAACTTTCTTATTCCCATATTTATTATATAGTTGACCGCCTAATTGAATTTAGATATAATGTTTTATTACATAATTTTAAGAAGCATCGCAAACGTCCTCATCATAATAAAGTAAAGAATAATTGCAAAAAACTAGTCTTTTGAGTTATTTTTTAATATTGTTACTATGTTAATTTTGTACCATTATTTACATTTAGCAAATAAAGCCCAAGTTCTTTAACGATAAAATTATATTTTTATTCTACACGCATAATTTTAGAGATAGTCGAAGTACATGTACATGAATTTCCATTAATGTACATCTAGAAGGATCTTTCTTATTCGAAAACCAATCATACTGTATTTAGCGTTACACTAAAATACTACATGATCAATGCATGTATGTCGTTGTGATAGTAATATTTCTTTGTTACAAAATTCTGTTTTTCTCGGCATAAATATTGATGTGAGGTGAGCAGTCCGGTTATCCATTGAGAAAATAATCAAAGAACCTTTACTCGAAAAGGATTTAACTACAAAACGGTTGCACTTTCATTTCAAGAAATACATGCAAAGTGCCGCTATACATGTACATGTACATGTATATCGATATCGAATTTCCTCTGCATTAAAATGAGAATAAATCAAATATTCATAATTAATTTATTTGATTTTTCGAAATAATTGAATATATATTAAAGAATAGAAAGTTTTATATGAAAT